TGGATTTTTTTATTAAAGAATATTTTTTGAGGGCGAGGATTTGGGGGACATTTCTAAGGCGTGGATTTTTTAAAGAAATTTTTTGAGAACGAGGATTCGAGGTACATTTCTAAGGTGTGGATTTTTAAAGATTATTTTTTGAGGGCGAGGATTTGAGGAATAATTCTAAGACGTGGATTTTTTAAAGACTATTTTTTGAGGGCTAGGATTTGAGGGACATTTTTAAGGCGTGGATTTTTTAAAGAATATTTCTTGAGGGCGAGGGTTTGAGGGGCATTTCTAAGGCGTGGATTTTTTTAAAGAAAGGGAAATAAAAGACGTCGATTTTTTAATACATATATTTTGTAGTGGATTTTTTAAAGAATATTTTTTATGGAAGAATATTTTTTGAGGTTCAAAATCCATTTTTGAGGTTTTAAATAAGGAGTGGATTTTTCAAAGAATATCATTCAAAATCCATTTTTTGAGGTTGTAACTAATGCGTGGATTTTTTAGAGAATATCATTAAAAATGTTAAAGAATATTTTTTAGGGGTTACTATTAGGGCGTGATTTTTTAAATGAATATTTTGTGAAGGTCTTAAGGCGCAAATTTTTTGAGGAATATTTTGTAGGGATCACTATTAAGCCGTAGATTTTTAAAAGTGTATTTTTGAGGACCTGTCATAAGGCGTGGAGTTTTATGAAAAACATTTTGAGGCTTTGGTTAAGGCGAGGATTTGTCTAATGAAAAAGGTTTGAGAGCCCAAAGATTTCGGTATTTTTCTATAAGAAAATGAAGCGAAAATTAAGTCTCAGATGTTATGTTAGTAGAAAAAATTATCCCTGATTATCCTGAATGTTTCACATTTTTATATATGTATTTAACTTCAAACCAAATGTCTTAATTTTTTTTGTACAAAATTTCATTAATATTTTATTAGATTAGTTTTTATGTTGAAAATTTTGTCTTATGTTCAAAGAAAAATATATTGAAGTGTGCCAACGATTATTTTTTTAACAACAAATATTAAATTTCAATCAAACTCCCCCTTTTCCAATACCCCATAGAAATGAGTTTCCCTTTCTCAACAAATTCTCATATGAAAATCAATCCTTTCAACAAATGAAATGTCAACAACAAATGAAATGGAAAACCTTCAGAACTTGTCAACTCATTTCGAAAATTGTTCTCCTTCCGACAAACAAAAAAATGCATCTGCTTAAAAAAAGAGTTGATGATCTTTGATCCTCGGCCTCTATTTGGGTAACACTTTTTTTAGCACGCGTACGTGGATTTTCTTACAATTTCCGGTTATTGGCATTCATCAGTTGTGGCGACAATCTATTGGGTCTCCTTCACGGAATATTCTGATGCAAAATGATGGTGGTGGCGACAGCAGAAACAAATGATGAATAAACAAATCTTTTCGATTTTTTAGTCAACGACTTGAATGTCATTGACTCAAAGAAGAAATAACCCTTTTACGTTGCCCCTTTGTTTTGCTTTTGGATAGGAAGTTAAATGTTTTCTTATTACTTATTAGATCATTATTTAGATGATGATGTTTTTGTTGTTGATGGAAATAACGATGATGAAGGTTTCATGGCTTGAGCAACTTGAGTTTTTTTTTGCATTGAGCGTGTGCCGGCCACACTCCTTTTTCCGGTGGTGGAGTGCTTCGACTTGTGTATTTTTTCTTAGTTGCTTTGTTTATTGCCATCTTTTTATGGACGCGAAGAAAAAAGGTGTTAAAAGGGTTAAGCGGCGAATGGCCATGTGTCTCTGGGTTAAAGGGTGAACGAATCGATTATGCCTGAAATGGGTGTTAAATGTTAAGTAATATTTCCGTAAACGTTCGTCGATTTAGTTTTCCATGCTAAACTTGTTAGGGCAATTTGGTGAAGAGGGAGGAAGGTCGAAAAGATGGAAAGCAAGCTGTTGACTTGTTGGGTTAAGAAATCATACGGCACTGACCATTGACCAAGGACGTGTGTGTGAGTTTTTGCGAGATTTATGTCTTCTGTTGATTTGAAGAGGGGAAGGGGCAGGTTTTATTGCTATTTTAAAAATATGTAATATAGGCAAATATGTTTTTATAGAAAAATATTGAGAAAAAAGTATTTAGAAAAAGGCATTTAATTCTATGGAAAAAGGTGTGGAAATCGATAGACTTACATTTTTTATAGAAAAAATCTCAGAATCTATTTTTATAAAACAATTTCAGACCTTTATTTCAAAAAATCTAAGATAACCCAAGTTCCAACTTTTTCTCTAAGAAAAATCCCGAGTGGTCCACTACTCGTGATTTTTTTTTTTTTTTTGTAGGAAAAATGCTGACATCACCAGGACTCAGGTTCTTTCCATAGAAAAAAATTTAAGCTGCAGTGTTCAGGCTTTTTATAGTAAAATAAAAACTGAGTCCTGGTTCTCAAGTTCCTTTTTTTCTGAGACTAAAGTTTTTTGCTTAAAAATACTGATATACAAATAAAAATATTTTAAAAAATTATTGTTTTTTATTTTTATTTCAGATCATAACCTGGATTTAAAAGGTAAGATTTTTTTCTAACCTTAGAGTTATAGACTCGTTCGTTTCGTATACTACAGATAGTGGATGTTGATCTCGAAAAATGTAATATATTAATTTTGGGGAAAAAGAAATCCATTATTTTTATATCCACTATAGAACTTTAATTAACATGCTTCGGAATGTCCGATTTGTGCCAAATTTGGACCTTTTTTTTGTATAATTTTTTGCCATTTTAAAATTAACTTCATAATGTCTCTCTCATAGAAGTCTTGCTCTCTATTTGCCGAAAACTCTAGTAGTCAATTTCTACAATCATCCTTAGATACCAATTTTCTATGATTAAAAAAGGGTTATTTGTTATCGTATGTGATCCATTTCTCATCATCCGTTTAAGAAATGGGTCTATCTCACCCCGTTTGCCGTAAATAAGGGTGAAAATATTGCCCAAAGCTCCTAGAAGTAGTCGCACATACATTGCAAAAATTTCATAGCTCTTGGTTGAATATTCCGAGCTGTATCGCTCTGCTGTATTTAATCAGACGGTCGTGACTAATTTTTCATCGAATTTTATACTGATTCAGGTGAATATACACTCAATCCGTCTTGTCGGTATAATGAATTTTTAAGAAATACAGGTTCTGGTACGTCAACATGTCGAATATTTATGAATCAAATATCGGGGAATGAACCAAATTTTGCATAACCTATTATATTTACTAAGCCTAGATTAAGGCTGAAGTTGGGACCCGTCTTCCCTCTCCTCTGGTACATCCTACAAAAAGGATCAATATTATATAATTGATCAACATAAAATCCGAAACGGGACCAATATTGATTACATCGTATAAGAGTTGCCGAACGCTTGTATTTATCTTTAATTGAGGTGCTATGCCTAATAAAGGAGCGATATATCCCAATTTCGAACTTAACATTTTTTCATTATAATGCCTTCACGGCATCATTATATGGGGTTTTAGCCTAAATGCGGGCCGACATATTTCATTCTCACACCTAACGTTCTACTTTTTTTATCCCAATATCCATCGAAGGGACTATCCCCAAAAGGGGCGAATATTAATAAATTGGGAGGGAGATTTGTTACCATATACGGCTACAAAATACTAAATTCGGTTGAAAATTGCCCTTAAAATACCGAAAAATGGGGGTAACGTAAGATAGGAGGTCTCCGAAAAATGGATCTATATTTATATTTTTTAGTGAAGAAATTAGTGGCCTATAGGTCATAAGGTCCCTGAAAAGTATTTTTTAAAAAATCCACGCCTATAGGTCATAAGGTCCCTGAAAAATATTTTTTAAAAAATCCACGCCTATAGGTCATAAGGTCCCTGAAAAATATTTTTTAAAAAATCCACGCCTATAGGTCATAAGGTCCCTGAAAAATATTTTTTAAAAAATCCACGCCTATAGGTCATAAGGTCCCTGAAAAATATTCATTAAAAATTCACGCCTTCAGGTCGAAAGGTCCCAGGTCAGGTCATAAGGTCCCTGAAATATATTTTTTAAAAATCCACGCCTTCAGGTCAAAAGGTCCCTGAAAAATATTCTTTAAAAATTCACGCCTTCAGGTCGAAAGGTCCCTGAAAAATATTCTTTAAAAATCCACGCCTTCAGGTCAAAAGGTCCCTGAAAAATCTTCTTTAAAAATCCACGCCTTTAGGTCAAAAGGTCCCTGAAAATATTCCTTAAAAACTCCACGCCTGTTGATCATCAGAGCTCAGAAAAATCTTCTTTAAAAACTCCACGCCTGTTGATCATCAGGGCTCAGAAAAATCTTCTTTAAAAAATCCACGCCTATAGATCATCAGGGCTCAGAAAAATCTTGTTTAAAAAAACCATGCCTATAGATTATCAGGGCTTAGAAAAATCTTCTTTAAAAACCACGCCTATAGATCACCAGGGCTCAGAAAAATCTTCTCTAAAAAATCCACGACTATAGATCATCTTGGCTCTGTCAAATATTCTTTAAAAAATCCACGACGTGGATCATCATTGCTCTATCAAATATTCTTTAAAAATCCACGCCTGTGGATCATCAGGTCATATTCTTTATATAAATATTCTGTTGTAACATAACATAACCTAACCTAACAATATTTATAATTGTTTCAATTGCCACTAAAACCTCTGCAATGACTTTGAAACCATTGAACCACAACAAATGACAAGTGTTTTGGTTATAATGTGGCTTAAATGTGAGCAATCCAACAATTCGTTCCAAAACCATATGCCGAAATATGGTTAGTAAAATAAGTTCTGTTTTTTCGCTTGGTGATATCTCCCATTGGAATCAAGAAAAATATTTTTCTAAATTTTTGGAAAAATATGAATATAAAAATCACAGCTACCACAACCTAAATCAGTTAGAACATATTTAGCCATTGGCGGATAAAGAACACTTCGGAAAAATATATTGAAGAGAATAAAAGTTATCTAAAAATATTTTGAAACCAGCCAACAAGTGAGGCGTAAAATGTTTTTCAAATTTTCTGCTCTATTGATTTTGGGGTCACTGCTATCATCAGCGGTGATCTTAGCCGCCGAACCAGCCAGCAAACAAAATTCAACCTCCCCGAAAAATGTTAGCGTGGACGATACAATTTTTAAGCTACCCAGTACTATCGATGAAGATGAGTTGCTACATGAAATGGGTCTCTTTATGCAGAGCCTGATGCGTTTAGATGTGGACCCCTGTGAAAATTTCTATGAATATGCCTGTGGTAATTGGAAGACGAGTGAGCGAGTACCATCATCCGGACGCAAAGATTCTATACTACGGGTTATACAAAGTGAAATCAATGATTTAATTGTGGGCTTTTTGAAAAATTCCACCAAAGAGTCAAAAACTGCCGAGGGGAAGGCCAAGACATTCTACGGATCCTGCTTGAGTGCCAGTAAGGATATTAATTTGGGTTTGAAAACGATGCTGGATAATGAGAAGGAGATATTTGGTAAGGTAAAACTGACGGGAAAAAACGATTGGATTCCGCTGAATTTTATGTCACCCTATAATGTTTTCCCTCTCCTCCCGATGAGTGTGAATTATAGCACGTTTAGTCGGCAATTTGAGATTTCGATTAATCGGCCCATAGAGGTTTTGAAGAATTTCTATAATACCTCACAATCGGATGAGTTGCTGCAGAAGCTGGGTCAGGTGGCTTCGGAATTTAAGGTGATGTTGGAATTTGAAAAGAATTTAACATCGAAGGTAGCACATGACGAATTTTCGGAAAGGTTGACAATGAGGGAGTTTCTCAAGCAGCATGAAGAGGATCCTGTGGATTGGCAACTCGTATTCAAAACAGCTTTTGGAGATTCCGTGCAATCAGAATGGTATATACAAAATCAAATTGGCAACTTTACCGATTTGGAGAGGTTTTTGAGAAAGTCATCCACGGAAAATTTGCGTAATTATGTCAAATGGAGAACCCTAGTGAAATTTTATAAAATATGGAAAACCGATTTACCCAATGATGAGAAGAGAGAGCAGGTGTGCCGCCAACACACCGAGTCCTATTTCACCTATGGCATATTACCCTGGTTCATTGAGCATCTTTATGATGCAGAGCGAAGGGAGGATTCTCTGCGCATTGCCCAGACGATTTTGCTGAGCTTCTTGAACATTACCGAAAATTACAGCTGGTTAGATGATGATACCAAATCGGAGGTGGTATCGAAGCTACAGGCCATGGACATTATGGTGGGCTATAAGGATGAAATGCGCCATAGGCAGTTGAGTGATCAAATTTATACAGATTTGGTGATCGGTGGGGATTGGTATAAAAATTTATTAACTCTAGAAGCCAATCATGCCAGGGTACGTCTACATTCGGTACACAAGACAGTTGTGCCACCGATCCTCTCACCCTATAGTGTCAATGCCTTTTATGCGGATTACATCAACACGGCCTTCGTGACCATGGGCATATCTCAAATGCCATTATATCACCCTCAACTACCAGCCTCTCTCAAATTTGGAGGCCTTGGAATGCTAATTGGCCACGAAATGGCTCATGCCCTCGACTCCAATGGCTATCGCATTAATTATGAAGGAAAACCCTATAACTGGTCCGGAACATCCTTAAGACACTTCAAGGAGAAAATACGCTGCCTCGAGAATCAATATAATAAATTTATTTATCATGGCATACAAACAAATGGTTCGGTTACAATGCCGGATAATATTGCTGATAATGCGGGCGCGAGATTGGCTTATCATTCATATATGGAATTGTATGGAAGGAATGAGGGTCTAGAGAGGCCATTACCGGGTTTGGAGTTCACCAATAATGAATTATTTTTTATTAAAATGGCACAGACTTGGTGTTCGGGACGTGATGATACCTTTAAGGTGCAGCATATTAAGACTGATGCCCATGCCTATGCTGAATTTAGGGTATTGGGACCTCTCAGGAATATGCCGGCATTTTCGCAGACATTTCAATGCCGTCTTGGATCACAAATGAATCCTCTCAAGAAGTGTACTGTGTGGTAATAAATACATCTCTATACATTGTATTATTATTTTAATATATATTCCGAATTTTTATAACCTCAAATATACATATTCAATAAAAATATATGATTAATAAAAATTATTTTATTCAATAAAATAATTTTGCAAGGTTATTTCAGTGGATCAGTTTAGAAAGAGACAGATTTTTTTTTTTAAGAATCAGAAGGAGCTAGAACTTGTTAAATATTTTTGTAAGGGTCAGAAAGAGGTGTCTTTGTTAAAATAACCTCAAAAAATATTCTTTAAAAAAATCCACGCCTAAAAATAACCTCAAAAAATATTCTTTAAAAAAATCCACGCCTAAAAATAACCTCAAAAAATATTCTTTAAAAAAATCCACGCCTAAAAATAACCTCAAAAAATATTCTTTAAAAAAATCCACGCCTAAAAATAACCTCAAAAAATATTCTTTAAAAAAATCCACGCCTAAAAATATTCTTTAAAAAATCCTCGCCTCTTTAGGCCCTCAAAAAATATTCTTTAAAAAATCCACGCCTTTTTTAGGCCCTCAAAAAATATTCTTTAAAAAATCCACGCCATTTTAGGCCCTCAAAAAATATTCTTTAAAAAATCCACGCCTTTTTAGGCCCTCAAAAAATATTCTTTAAAAAATCCACGCCTTTTTAGGCCCTCAAAAAATATTCTTTAAAAAATCCACGCCTTTTTAGGCCCTCAAAAAATATTCTTTAAAAAATCCACGCCTTTTTAGGCCCTCAAAAAATATTCTTTAAAAAATCCACGCCTTTTTAGGCCCTCAAAAAATATTCTTTAAAAAACCCACGCCTTTTTAGGCCCTCAAAAAATATTCTTTAAAAAATCCACGCCTTTTTAGGCCCTCAAAAAATATTCTTTAAAAAATCCACGCCTTTTTAGGCCCTCAAAAAATATTCTTTAAAAAATCCACGCCTTTTTAGGCCCTCAAAAAATATTCTTTAAAAAATCCACGCCTTTTTAGGCCCTCAAAAAATATTCTTTAAAAAATACACGCCTTTTTAGGCCCCCAAAAAATATTCTTTAAAAAATCCACGCCTTTGGTATGGCCTCAAAAATATATCTTTAAAAAATCCTCGCATTTTTAGGCCCTCAAAACATATTCTGTCAAAAATCCACGCCTTTGGTATGGCCTCAAAAATATATCTTTAAAAAATCCACACCTTTGATATGGCCTCAAAAAGTATTCTTTAAAAAATCTTGCCTTTGATATGACCTAAAAAATTGATCTTTAAAAAATCCACGCCTTTGGCCTCAAAAAGTATTCTTTAAAAAAATATTGCCTTTGATATGACCTCAAAAATTTATCTTTAAAAAATCCACGCCTTTGATATGGCCTCAAAAAGTATTCTTCGAAAAAATCTTGCCTTTGATATGACCTCAAAAATTGATCTTTAAAAAATTCACGCCTTTGATATGGCCTCAAAAAGTATTCTTTAAAAAAATATTGCCTTTGATATGACCTCAAAAATTGATCTTTAAAAAATCCACGCCTTTGATATGGCCTCAAAAAGTATTCTTTAAAAAAATCTTGCCTTTGATATGACCTCAAAATTGATCTTTAAAAAAATCCACGCTTTTGTTAGAACCTCAAAACTTTATCTTTAAAAAATCCACGCCATTGGTATGGCCTCAAAAATGTATCTTTAAAAAATCCACGCCCTTGTTAGGACCTCAAAATTGATCTTTAAAAAATCCACGCTTTTGTTAGAACCTCAAAATTTTATCTTTAAAAAATCCACGCCTTTGGTATGGCCTCAAAAATATTGTTTAAAAATTTCTCGCTTTAGGTATGGCCTTAAAAAGTATTCTTTAAAAAATCCACGCCCTTGGTATGGCCTCAAGAATATTCTTTAAAAACTTCACGCCTTGGATAGACCCTCAAAAAATATTCTTTGAAAAATTCACGCCTGTGGTATGGCCTCAAAAATGTATCTTTAAAAAATTCACGCCTGTGGTATGGCCTCAAAAATGTATCTTTAAAAAATCCACGCCTTTGTTAGGACCACAAAATGTTATCTTTAAAAAATCCACGCCGTTGTTAGGACCTCAAAATTTGATCTTAAAAATAATCCACGCATTTGTTAGGACCTCAAAAATTCTTCTTTAAAAAATCCACGCCTTTGGTACTACCTCAAAAATATTTTTTAAAAAAATCGACACCTCTTGTGGAGCCTCCGAAATGTTGTTTTTTAATCCCCGCCACTTATGAAACCTCAAACCTTAAGAAATCGATGCTCTAATAGGCAGTCGTTTTACAACAAAAAATTTAGTTCGGTTACTCCCACCAGAAAATTAAGTCACAAAGTCAAGATTTCGAACTAATTGGTTCTAAAAGTCACCTGACAAACCCAATATAAAAGGTGGTAAAGACCCAACGATCGGCAAACTAAAATAGAAAAATACTCCTACACTAAGGATGCCGAAATACTAAATCAATTAGTAGTTGTCACCATGAGAAAAATTTCAGGATAATAGAGAAACTAAATAAAGTTTTTCTTAAAGAAAAACAAAAGATGTTTTTAACAATTAGATTTCTCTACCGGCCTCTCTTAAAACAATCGATTTATATTAATTGATTTTAAGCAGAAGACAATAACTAAGATCGGCTTAGGTGAATAGCCAGAAAAAACACAATTCGTAAGGACAACGTGCTAGGACAATGACCAAATGTGAAGTGGGAGTATCCAATAATATTTGTCAGCATTTGCAATTGTTTTTCTCTGTTTCTTTTTTTGGCAAATAATTTGTCGTCCTGTGTTGTTTTACCGGTAACACCTTTCTCATTACCAATTAATGACAATGGAAATTTCTCCAGCCAGCCTTTTAAGTCCTGGCTACTGCATGGGAAATATCCTGCCTTGGTAACTAAACAACAAATGCAAATATTAAAGCGGGATTTTTCAAAACGGAGTTTCAAAAACAAAAGACCATAGCAGCAACAGTGTCTTGCCTCTTGGAGAGCGTAGAACGAATCGTTGTGAGCGTAACAATTGTTTGGGAAATTACCAGAAAGGAGCGCGGCAATGTGCATTACAATGGAATGAGCATTTCATTCGTGTACAGGTGAGATGGAAAACAATTGGCATTGTGTGGGTGGTACAAATGTCTAGTTATTTGTTTGTCACAATCATTAGATTTGTATTGAAATGCTAATGATTTTGACTATCGGGATGTCCAAAGAAAATATTGAACCTTCTTTAAAATATCCTTTGATGCAGTTTCAAAAACTATATAAATTTTCTGTTAATTCCAAGATATTGGCGGATCTCAAAAAAACTGATCAACAGTACAAATGTGTGGATATTTAAAGTGTATAAAGTGTATTGAGGCTCTTAGAAGACGTGGATTTTTCAAAATAATATTTTTTAGGCCTTAATAAGGTGGATTTTTAAAGGATGTTTATTGAGGTTCTAACAGAGGCGTCGGGTTTTTAAAGAATATTTTCTGAGGGTCTACTTAAGGAGCGGTGTTTTAAATATTTTTTGAGGTTCTACTTAAGGCGTCGATTTTTTAATATATATTATTGAGCTTCTAACAAAGGCATGGATTTTTTAATGAATGTTTATTGAGGATCTAACAGAGGCGTGGGTTTTTAAAGAATATTTTTTGAGACTCTCACAAAGGCGTGGATTTTTTAAAGAACATTTTTGAGCTTCTAACAAAAAGTCTTGGTTTTCGGAAAGCATCTTATAGGATTTTTTAAAGAATTATTATTTGAAGCTCTTGTAAGGCATGCATTTTTTACAGAATATTTTTTGGGGCATGGATTTTTAAAGAATTTTTTTAGGTTATAGAATATTTTCCGATGTTGTTATAAGGCATGGATTTTTTAAGAATATTCTTGAGGCCCTTATAAGGCTTGGTATTTTTAGAAAAATTGTTGGTGCTCTTATAAAACATGGTTTTTATACTCTTCACCACACTGTGGTACTGGGTATTATGTCTTTGCGCATATGCTTGTAACAGGCAAAAATAATCGAGATAGAATCACTTTCTGAGTCGATTTATGCATGTCCGTCTGTCCGTCCGTCTGTCTGTCCGTCCACGTTTTTTTGTTAACAAAGTACAGGTCGCATTTATGATCCGATTTGGATAAAATTTGGCACAGGTCACTTAATTGGTCCAAGGACGAACCCTATTGAAAATGAAATTTGGCACAGGTCACTAATTTGGCATAAGGACGAACCCTATTGAAATTGAAGAAAATCGGTTCAGATTTAGATATAGCTCCCATATGTAGTTTCGTCCGATTTAATGTAAATGGTGCACCAAAATTCCAATATTTTTCCGATTGAGACAAGATTTTGCACAGCGTACTGGATTAGGACCAGTTTGATGTCTGCGAAGTTTCGTTGAAATCGGTTCAGATTTAGATATAGCTCCCATATATAGTTTCGTCCGATTTTAAAGAGTGCACTAAACTTGCAATATTTTTCAGATTGAGACAAAATTTGCACAGCGTACTAAATAAATATCCAGTTTAATGTGTGCGAAGTTTTGTGGAAATCGGCTCAGATTTAGATACAGCTATCATATATAGTTTCGTCCGATTTTAGATTAATTGTGCACCAAATTCGCAATTTTTGTCTGATTGAGACAAGATTTTGCACAGCGTACTGAATTAGGTCCAGCTTGATGTGCATGAAGTTTTGTTGAAATCGGTTCAGATTTAGATATAGCTCACATATATAGTTTCGTCCGATTTAATGTAAATGGTGCACCAAAATTCCAATATTTTTCCGATAGAGACAAAATTTTGCACTGCGTACTAAATTAGGTCCACTTTGATGTGCCTGAAAGTTTGGTGAGATCGGGTTTTAGATATATTTCCCCATATATAGTTTATCCAATCATATGTAAGTGGTGCACGAACTCCCAATATTGAGACAAGATTTTGCACAGCCTACTGTATTAGGTCATGGGTGATATTTATGAAATGTTGTTGAAATCGGTTCAGATTTAGATATAACTCTCATACATTCGAT